TTAAGCAGAAAAAGTAACTGCACGCCGCCGAAAACTAGATATACAGAAATAATATTCACCTTTGGGTTTGATATACATAGGAGACCAAGAGCCAAAGGCACTGCACGCCGAACGTTCTGTTCTCCATACTGTAGCACGCGCTCCAAAGAACGGATCCCCATATCCAGACCCAATTCCTCGGACATAGCAACCATGGCTAATCCAATCACAGCTGGACCCTGGTGGATATCACCATTCTCCAGATGCTCTCCACACTGAGCCAGAAGGTCTTGGACCTGAATAATTTGAAGAGTCAGCGACTAAACTAGAAAGAAGTGAATAATCTAATTCAACCACTAGCACACTTGATCAGATACCTTAAGGACATTCCCGGTTCCAGCATATGCACATGAAAGAAGTGTCATATCACAATACTTTCTGATTTTCTCATTGAACGTCTTTGAAACTTCCGCAGTAGCCTCCACACTTTCCTGCTCGATATTGGCACAAGTTAGCACTAATAAGCGGGGGAAATAACGATCAGGTACACGAACAAGAAAATAATCAAGTACGACTTGCTGCCCACCTGTTTACCAAGGTACAAAAGTCCAAGTCCAAGAGGCAAGAATCGAGTAAGGGCTTCACCCAGTTCTGCCTCGCTCCGATCCATCAAAGCAAATATAATAGATTGCGCAACCTCTTCGTTACATGAACCAACGTAAATCATCCCCAAACTAAGTGCAGCAAATGCAATCACATCGAGAGGTGCTTTTGCATCATTTAGTATTGGAGACAAACGGCTTCTTATCTATCCAACAAGTGAGTATGTTAATGTCTCGTCAACAGAACATTCAACTTAGCTTATAGGTAAGAAGATAACATGTATTCACCTGATCATTTTGGGAACCCGCATATGCAATCCCGAGACCCATAATAGCACCAATTCGGACAGATGAATCCTCATTGTCAATAAAGTCTGCGAGAAGGGCGAACGCCTGAGAAAGAGAGCTGGGTGAGAATGAATGGCGAAAAATAGTGAACACAGAGGTTCACATCTCAAAAAAAAAATCAACTCACAGGGTCACAATCATCCTTAATGCCACAATTAACAATCCCAACTCCCAGCAGAGCTCCAGCAATGACGGGATTATCACTACTATGGAAATATTTGTCGAGTTGAGCTAGTCCGGTGTTCACATCCCACAATTGAATCATACCCTATAAATCGTTGTTACAACAAGGTCGTGTTACAAATTTTACTTCCAAAAATATGAACATAGCTAATCAATTTATCAAGTAAGAAGAGGCATACCAGACTAGCAGCTGCACTGGTCTTGCCATGTTCTTTATTTTTGAAGAGCCAGTTTCCAGCTGATCCACTGGTTGAGTCAGATGGCACTGTCATTAATTTGTCCTGCAAGAAGGAAATATATGAAAAGGGCAGCTCCCAAAATTCTTCTTATTTTGCACATCATAAGGTCCTGTAATCATACCTGGCCGAATCCAGCATTTACAAATGCATTCACAAAAGTCGCAGACAGATTCTGTCTAGCTGAATCCACACTTGCACCAGAGCTAACCCTGCCATCAAGCAAGTGAGCCTGCAAAATTTCAGTGGAAAGGTAAGAGGCACTGACATAAACATATCCTGTAACTAAATAAACTAGTAACAGGAATAATATTCAATTAAACTGATGTACCTTGTAGATGTCTTCAGGCGTCTTGGCCTCCATGACCTCAATATCCCTAGCAAGTGTCAGATATCCTTCACTCAGCTTAGTGTTGTTAACAATATCTTGTAGGGCTTCTCTGTCCTGCTCATTTGCAACCATCTCCTGGTCAAGCACAAAGGTGATACCCTGCACGGAGAAATAACAAGAGAAAAGGAAATATAAGAAAATAAATAATTAGGTACTGCACCTTTATGCTGATTTAAATTATTAAGAACTTACTTGACGAGCAATCATGTAGCAGAACTGTTTCTTTTTTAGCAGATCGGTACATGAGGTAAAAACTTGCTTCACATACTGGAAAAAGGAAAAATATATATCATAAGAAAGATACATATAGAGGAGAGCTTAACCCAGCTGCTCCCATGTTGCAGAAAGAGGATATTAAGTTTTATATGAAGATTAGCACTCAGACCTGCATGTTGTCAAGAAATAACGCAATTTGCAGCGCGTTTGGATATTCTGCAAACTTAATGTAGATCATGTAAGCAATATCTAGAACCAACATGTCATCTGGTCCTGGAAGATACCTGAACGAAAACATACAATATCAACGGGACTGATCATGGGCAAGATAACCAAGCAAAGCTCATGAGAGCTTGTCTCATATGAAAATAACAGTTATGAGTGATCTAAAACCATAATTAAAGGTGAAACGCCAGTCAAATGAATAAGCTCAACGTATTGAAATTACTTTGCTGCACTCGTGAGATAGTTGCATGTCCTCCTGAAATTTGTGCTGTCAACATGCTCAAGTAAGAGATCAAGATCCTCAACATCCATTAAAAGGTCAACCGCTTCGGTTTCGGCATTATGCTGCAAAGAACAAAATGAAATCCTTCAAGTATATGCCTATCAATGAAAGTTTTATTAATTTAGATGTACAATGGAACCCTTGTTATTACAAGAAAAGTAAACATGAGTACATGACAAGGATCTCACCTTCATGTGAAAAGAAACAATTTGCTGCACAAGATCCATTAAGTCTTCAATAGAGGACTCTTCACCCTGATATAACAAAAAGAATGAGCATATAACCATATTCAGTAACGATTCTAAGCAAAATAAAAAGCACATTGTCATAATATTCATTAACAGACCATAATATCCATGACATTGCTAGAATATGACTAAAACTTTTCGAGCGAAAGAACATAGCCAAAGACCAAATTGTTTACTAACCTGACGCATTGTATACTCTTCTGCAATCTCTCCGGCCAAATTCCTGACATACTCGTGACCCCACGATCCGATTTCACCCTCTGATCCAGTCAACCTATAGTTTAAGCTTTCCTGAAAGATTATTGTATAACAAAGGATCAGCAACAAATAACTTCATCAAATTCTACCAAGAACCATAAAATACAAAGCTGGTAAGGCATATCATAAGAGGAAAACAAAAAGGAATCCAGTTATATGAATGTGAAGCAAATAGCAATAGGCAAGAAACTCCTACAACAATAGCAAGAAAGCATACCCTTTCACCTTCAGCAGACATGGTCAGTGCCAGGACAGAAAGTATATCAGCCAACATTTTCTGCAAAAACAGGGAGAGCGATCTTATAATCCAAACTCAGTAGAACGAGCAAGACGGTGTTGATGAGAAATGACTTAAAATGTTTGAAAGCGTACTTTGAGATCAGACTCCGCCATTTTTAAATGAAATTCCTTAAGAACTCCATAATGAGGACGGAGAAACTTGAGGGGTTTTGGAACTGATGTCATGGAGCTTGTTGACTCACGAATTTCCTGCCTGCAGACCAAAAGAGAGTGAATCAAGATAAGACAACGAGAAAAGATGGAAAAACATGAACATGGTCGGTACTAAAGCAGCAAAAGAAGTGTCATAAGCCCATAAAACAAACTCCAACGGAAAATTATCAGAATATTTGCAGCTAATCAACTCAAGGATGGGTTAAGAGATACAAGAACTACCTCATGCTTTCAAGAGCAGCCTTCTGTAACTCAGGATTGGGGTCCTGAACTCTCTCAACATAGAGCTCCAGGTTCTGCTTTAGTTGCAAGTCCTCTTCAGACTACGATAACATCATATGCAAACTGAGTCAGCAAGCAATCAAACTAGCTATAGCCATACCCATAGTACAAAAGGTACCTACTAATTTAACTCCATGCGACTAAACCACAACAAATATTGTATCTTCCAAGAACGAGTTATAATATGGATTTTACCAACTTCTTAATCTCGCTATCTAAATAGCAATGTGTGACATTTTCTTTGCCAAAGATTTCAAAACCAAAGAACATCAGCTAAACCCTAAATCTCGGAAAATCTAGAGCTTAATCGTGAAGTTTTTCCCGATCTCCCCGGATTCTTTCTAACTCTCAGCTAAGTACGATTTCAAAGAAAAATCGAAATAAAGAGAACTCACCAGATCCTCTTCCTTCTTATCATCTTTCTTCTTGGAATCCTTAGAAGGAACCTTCGTCGTGGCTTCGTCACGCTTCGCACCACCGCCAACACTGTTCGGATCCGGAACTGGAGCCATTGTTAGTCAGACTAGCACCTGATCAAATCGACGAATCCAAACAATGACTATCGAAATTCGAAAGACTCGGAAGAATCGAGCAGCTTTCTACTTATGAGCTCTCGCGAAAACCCTAAGTCTGAAATTTCACGTTAGAGAAGAATTATGCTTTTCTTCTGGAATTGAAGCAAAAAAGGTTCCAACTGTAGAAACAAAAAATATATCAGAAAAAAAAAAAGTCATATACTTATACCGGAGAAGATTACCCCTCGATCAAGAATTCCATTATGGGCTCAGCCTGTAATCAATTGGGCTTTTCATTGGGCCCTACTTTTCTACTATGGTCTCTATATAAACAGACAAAATAAATAAAAGATTCCAAAAACATTTATTTTATTGGATTTTGATTTGATCAATTTTTTAAAATGGAACGAAAAAATAGCAACTAATTCGATCGGATTTAAGTTCGAACAACATAATAATAGCAACATTTATATAAATACGTTACATGTCGGAATCTACATGCTTTTTTAAGATAAATTTAGTAATATTTGTCTAACTCAAAACATTATACCTTCACATTATAAAAGAGGAAATGACATTTAATTGTTTTTTTTAAAATAATTTTTTGTTATCTAAATGGACAATCTCAATTACTTGAGCGATAATAAAAGAAGAAAAGGAAACAAATGGAGAAGGGAAGAGGCAAGATGGCAAAGCTGTGATTAAAACACCGTCACCTCTCCGTCAACCGAGACAAACAAAGATCGAGTATTCTCGAACCTTCCACGAGATTCTTTACTAAGCCAAAGCAGAAAAGACCAGAGAACGAAGAAGAAATCCAGAAATTACCAATTTCTTTTTTGTTTAATCGGTTTCAGGAAAAGTGAAGAAACGAAAGAGAGAAGAAGAAGAAGAAGGTGAGATGGGAGTGGATTATTACAAGGTTTTACAGGTTGATAGAAGTGCTAACGACGATGACCTTAAGAAAGCTTATAGAAAACTCGCTATGAAATGGCATCCCGACAAGAACCCTAACAACAAAAAAGACGCTGAGGCTAAGTTCAAGCAGATCTCTGAAGCCTACGATGTATGTTTTCTTTTTTGTGTTTGATTCCAATCACACACACCACTGCTTCTCAATTCAAATTATGATTGCTTTATTGAAAATCGTCCCAAAGTTTTGATTTTGATTTCTAGTGAGAGTTTTTCTTTCCCTTAATACTGTCGGCGGTCACGAACTTGTTTCTGATTTTGGATATTAGTCGGATTTCACGATTTGATGTTGTGTTGGCTCGTGGGTTTTCCAGATTTCGTGTTCCTGAGTAATACGAATCATAGTATCAAGTAAAAGATGATTGCTTTATCTTTGGGCTAAGCTAGATTATCTTAATTTTGTGCTTTCTCTGACTCATGCTTTATCCTTTGTCTTTTACTCTGTGATTGATTATTGAGAACCTCTTAGGCATTCTATATACTTATCAGTTATTGCAAGTCTGTGTAGCTTAGGATTATGAGGAACATACTAAGATTGTTTAATTTGACTCAGGCTTTTATGGGGCTAATGTTGTTCTTTGTTGTGAGTTGATTAGGTTCTTAGCGATCCTCAAAAGAGAGCGGTATATGATCAATACGGTGAGGAAGGGTTAAAAGGGAATGTGCCACCTCCCAATGCTGGTGGTGGAGCCTCATACTTCTCAACAGGAGATGGACCTTCATCTTTCAGATTCAACCCGAGAAGTGCGGATGATATATTCGCTGAGTTTTTCGGGTTCTCGACCCCGTTTGGTGGTGGTGGTGGAGGGCAGAGATTCGCTAGCCGCATGTTTGGTGATGATATGTATGCCTCTTTTGGTGAAGGAGCAGGTGGTGGAGGAGCTATGCATCATCATCACCATCATCATCATCACGGTGCAGCTAGGAAAGTGGCTCCTATCGAGAACAAGTTGCCTTGTAGCCTTGAAGATCTCTACAAAGGAACCACCAAGAAGATGAAGATCTCTAGGGAGATTGTAGATGTCAGCGGGTAAGTGATTAAACTCAGATACCATTTCGAGCACACATAACTTTTTGTTTTTAAGCTTATCTACTAAGTACTAGTCAACATGGGCCATGGATTTTGAATATACAACCTCCCAAGTATGTACATATATGAAAAAAGTTTCAAGCTTTTAGTTTCTGCAACATTTCCCAGCTTGCATATGGCTGAATTAATTGTTGATTTGAGCTGGCCCTAGTTGTTGCCTTGACAATAGCTAATATATGTCTTCTTCGTTTTTCTTCTGCTAAATGCAGCAAGGCAATGCAAGTGGAAGAGATTCTAACGATTGGAGTGAAACCCGGGTGGAAGAAAGGCACAAAGATCACATTCCCAGAGAAAGGCAATGAGCATCCAGGTGTGATTCCAGCGGATCTAGTCTTCATCATTGACGAGAAACCCCATCCAGTGTTTACCCGTGAGGGCAACGACCTGATTGTCACACAGAAAGTCTCACTAGCTGATGCCTTAACAGGCTACACTGCAAACATAACGACCCTTGATGGTCGTACACTTACAATCCCGATCACAAACGTGATCCATCCAGAGTATGAAGAGGTGGTTCCTAAAGAGGGAATGCCACTTCAGAAAGATCAGACGAAGAAAGGGAACTTAAGGATCAAGTTCAATATCAAGTTTCCAGCGAGGTTAACTGCAGAACAGAAAGCTGGGTTTAAGAAGCTTATTGGGTGATGATTAAAGCTTCTCTCTCTCTCTTGTGATGTGTGGAGATTGGGATAAATTTGGTAATATACGATTTATAGGGAATTCTCTCCCTCTTCATTAATTTCGTGTTGTTAAACAAGTCTTCTTTTTAAAGAATAGTTATTTCAAGATTTGGTACATGTCTTCCATAAACAAAAATTGAAGATCACAAATCTTTTGTTTTACAAAAGTTTCTGCATTTTCATGTCTAGAGTATGAAACTATTCTTTGGTAAGGGGAGATCCGATGCCATGACGGCGTGTGGGGAATGCGAGGAAGAAGGCACCACAAATGATGCCGATGATAAAAGGTAAACTGGTAAGAATCTCCTTGGTTTCCTCGGAAGGAACAGGAAATAAACAACGGGTTACGTTCTGATCAAACATGGAGACTGCGAAGAAGACGAGCATTGACATGATTGCGTGCACAAAATCAAGAATCTTGAGCTTATACTTTTCCCTCTCCTCCTCCGTTAGAGTAATCGATCCATCTATCACACATAGCCCACTCCACGTTGCCAATCCGTACCTAACCTGCAACATTAAGTTTGGTGCTTGTTTCAACAATTTGGACAACTTGAACAAAAACTCTATGAATGTTATGAATGGTACAAAACAGCCGAATATGTGACACAGATGTCAGATGTGTATATACCTTGCCATTTGGGTCTCTGATGGAGTCGGTAAAGGAGAAGAGGAAGCAAGAGATGGCGCATAGGGAGACGAGGAAGCAGGTGAGCCATCGACTGGTGATGGTGGGACACTGACCTTGATGGGTTAGGACCGGACACATTATTTGAAAACTCATTACCGAACCGGTCGGGAGCAGATTTGATAGATGAGCTGTTCCTTTGAATGTTTTCCTCACAACTCTCTCTACTTTCGACTTCGGTTTTCTTGGTGCCGCCGGCAACGATGCTATCAATGACTGCTTCGTCTCCTCCATCACTAATCTTTTTTAGTTAATCACTCTGCAAATTCGAATGCTTATATATGTCTCTCTTTTTTTTGTCTATAGTTATTCTGATTTGAAAGAAGTGCACAAGATTTTATGGGTTTCGATTTCTTTCTTTTTTGGTGTCTGCTTCTGTTGAGTTGTTTGTTCAGGTTTCAAGGTTGATATTCTGTTCTTCCATTTTTATGTTTTCTGTTGCAGGTCAGGATTAGCAATAAGAAACGTAAAACCAAATAATATATTTGAGTAACGAAACAAGAAATAGGAGTTTTGTAACAGAAATAATTTAAATAGAACTCTGTTACCGTTTCCTAAGTATGAACTATGAAGATAGATATGTAATTATCGGAAAAAAAACGGTCTATTTCCCCACGAGAAGTATCGCATCATAACAGATAGAGCCCATTCTTTGACCTCGGTCCATATCTCCATGAAATCAAAATTCTATTCCTATTTCCCCCCGAATCAAAAGTTTTATAGCTTAATATCCCCGAGACAAAAGTTCGAGAGCCAAAACCCCACGGAGCTGGGTTTAATCGGTTTATTGTATACAAAACCGAAAAACAAACCATCTAAACCTAATTATAACCAGAATAAACCCGATTTACCCGTTGACATTATAATTTGACTATAGATTCATAGAGCAAAAAAAAAAAAAAAAAAAAAAAAAAAAAAAAAAACAATGTTTCATAAAACTGAAACCCAAACAACAAACAGAGCCACATCGTAGACACAAAGATATGACCATAATTAACAAATCGAATCAACCCAAAGGTAGATCTTGAAACCTGAAAATCTCAAGGTACAAGATAATAACTCAGAAATCTGAAAATTGATTAAGGGGCTGAAACAATCAACGAAATTGAGGCGTTACCGGAGGATAGATGTCTGAGCAGCGTATCTGGTCGTTGGTTGTGGTGATTAAACTGTTAACGGAGCAGATGGAGACAAGATCTCTCAGTTAAAAATTGAATCACTGAGGCAAGAGAAGTTGGTAAGAAAAAATTGGTTACCTACGGGTTGTCGGAATCAATTGAGTTGTGATCTCGCCAGAGGAGACAAATAAGAAGCTTCAGCATCGCCGGAGAAAAGCTGTAGCTTGCCGGAGAAATGGAGCCGATCTCCTGAGCTTGATTCAAAAAGGCAAACTTTTACGATTCTCAAATTCTGGAAATTTTCAAGGATCCTATTCTCTAAGTGTCACAAGAAGAGACAAGAGAGAGATTAGAGGGTACCTGAGATGAACGGTGACGGCGGTGATCCGATTCACCGGAGGAGACGAAGAAGAAGCTTTAGATTCATTGGAGAAGAAGCTTCAAATTCATGGGCATGGCTCTACTACAGAATGGAGGAGGGTGTTTGCTCTACTACAGAATGGAAATGGGTCGACGGCGTGGCTCTATGTGGAGGATTGCAGTCGTTGTCGATTAAGAATTCCGGCGATTTGACCGATATGGGTTTGGTGGCTATAGGGAGAGGATGTTGTAAGTTGATTACCATCGAATTTGATTACCATTGAATTTGATTATTGGTTAATCACAATGATTTTCTCCAATGAGCTTTTGTAATTTTGATATCAAATTTATCAAAATCGTTTGGTTGTTTGAAGAATCAGGTGAAGAAGAAGATGATATCGGATCATTTACGGGTGGGTCATATTTTAATTCAGTCTAGAATCAAATTTTAGTGGTTTGGTATTCGGTTTAGTTTGGGTTTACAGCGCAAACCGATATAACCCAGATTCGGGGACATTTAGCTATAGAACTTTCGATTCGGGGAGAAATAGGAATACAACTTTGGTTTCATGGAGATATGGACCGAGGTCAAAGAATGGGCTCTATCTGTTATGATGCGATACTTATCGTGGGGAAATAGACCGTTTTTCCAACAGTGTATATTGTTGTTGTTAAATAGTAAATACAAATAGATAAACGATAGCCGTTTTCTTAAGATTTGGTTTTCTGTGTATATTGCTTAAACTTTTGCCGCAAAAAAAGTGTATATTCATATTGCTTTAACTTAAAATTAGGTCCATCGAGCTAATTTGTTATCTGTCGTTTCTACATCATTTTTGTGTAAATAATATACTATTGGTAATGAACTTCACGTATCACCCAAAAAAAAAAAACTATACAACAATAATTAGACTGGATCACTTTCATACCGATTTAGGAAGACTATATACTTATAGCATTCAAATAGCTTTTTAAAAAACAAGTTATGAAAGCATGCCCCATATCCAATTACCACTAGGCCATAAGATGTAGGGCTAAACTTCCGAGCATGGAACAATTAAGAGTTTAGTGAACACTTTTTTTAATATCAAAAACACAATTACACAACAAAAAGGCAAAAGCTATCATCGTTCAAAGTCTAATAAATAATTAGTCGTCCACCAGTATAACGCGGTGTAACACAAGGGTGACCATGCAAGTTATTTCCAACTTGTTAGAGAATTGAAGTAATATATAATTAGATTTCTTGAATTTCAGTTTTCATAAAAAAGTATATAGGGAAACTAGTTTTTGTGGTTTAGGTTTCCTATTTTATTTGAAAACACAAAGCTAATAAGTTTTAGATTTTCTCAACAAAAAAAAATTAAACTAAAGTCAAAAAATTAAAACCAAAAACACATGGGAAAAAAACAAAAAAAAAGAAGTCTAATCTTCCACCGGTCTAGTCTTCCACCAGTCTAGTCTTCCACCAGTCGAAGAGGGTGTAAGCAAAGCCGACCATTAAAAAAACAATTATCACATTCGACAGAGGGTAACCAAAGACGCCACCTGTGTAATAGAATGGAACTGGTAGCTTCACTCCGAAAAAGATGCAGTACAACATCGGTGCAATGTATGCAATCATACTTATTTTAATCATTCTATCCATCTTGATCAGTACCTTGAGTCGTTTCCTTAAGTCTTCTGCGTCGTAAGTATCCTCCCACTCCTGCAATTTTTTGTTTGTTTGTTGAAACATATATTCGTTACAGTTGAGCCTAGGGTTAGGAATTATCCACTAATTTCTGTTTTACTAAACTTTCAAACATGGAATAAGAATTAATAATTTAGTGAACAAGATTGTATACAAAATTGATAAGTTATTACTAGGATAAAGACTAATTCAAACTAACAATCAAGTTAGAGAATCAAAACTCTATTTTAAAATTGAGAAAGCAAAGACCTCATGAGTACTATCTCAAGAACTAAAGATATGCTTTGCAGGTAACCTAAAGAAAATTAAAGAACTCATTGAGTCTCCCAAGACCTAAAGAATCCACTTGATCAAGAAACTGGCATCTAATAATAAGAGTAAAACAAAGAGAGAAGAAACCAAACCACCGTATCCTCATCGTCATCGGAAAGTAAGGGTAGATGAAGCGTCTCTGTATCTACATCCATAACAACAAACTCAGGAGACCCCATGAGTAATTAAGCGTCTACGTAGCTGAAAAAAAAAGTAAAAAAATTAGGAATAACTTCACAAATCTCAAAGTCGAAATATAAATAGAGACGAGCACATAATTTACAAAACAATTAGGGTTTTGAGGGGGGGACGAGGTCGGTTTCTAATATTTTCATAATGGGCCTGCGTGGTATATTTCGGCCCATATATTTTTTTTGAATAAATTATATCGACCCATTTATCAAATGTTCTGATTCGAAGAACGTTACATAATTTCCGAAATAAAAGAAATCATTAATTTGGTTTGATTACTTATAGGAAAACAACGAGGACCAAGAACAACTGCAAAAGGCATTGTACATTTTTGTCGTACAAAGAATTTAAACAGCGACAGCTAAAAAAGAATACTACTACTAGTAGATAAGTAAAAACAAAATTAAATGAAGGGTCTGAAACACTGGCACAGTGGGGACATTGGAGGGCAGGAACCGGAAATAGAAATGGCATGCGTGAGACCTGTGCCGTTTCCGGTAAGAGATTGACATTTGTCAACAATATATTGGAAGACTTCTTAAGCCGTCGCTTTCGTACGACACAAACACTGTTCCCTTCGGCGGCTACGGCGCGTCCTTGTCGGTTCCTCCGCCGTTTGCCCCCTCTCCTCTCCTCTGTCCCTGTTACTACAATTCAGCTTTTGTTCCATTTCTTTTCTTTCTTTTGTCTTTTCTTTTATTTTGACTAAAACGTATTGATGAGATTATAATTTTTGATCCCAAAAAGAAAAATGAAGTAGAAATAAAATAAAATAAAAGATGATATTTTTGTGGAGCTTTTGTTCCATATATTCGTTCTTTTTGCTCTTAAAATTATTTCACATTAGACGTTTTGAATTTGGATTTATGGAATGAAAAAATGGAAATGGTATCTTTGGAATTTGTCGATCAGGCAAAAAAAGAAGAAAAGAGGTTTTAAAGGGTGGTTTTTTAGTCAATGTGCAGTAAAAATCAAAATGGTGTCGTCTTCTCTCTGCAAATATCGTCCGGTATGGTCCCAACTTGCTTTTTTCCTTCATCTTTGAAGTTTTTTACCCACGGAACGTGAAGCTTTGTACCATTTCAACTTTATTACTATCTTACCCCTTCCATTTTTTTAACCACGAATCTATTTTTTAATTGATATTTCTTAGAAATATTATAGCAATGTGAATGATGAAAAGTGAATACAAAGTACATGAATTAGTAGATGCTGATGTTTTTACCCCTTGCAACAACAAAAAAATTGAAAAAAAAGTGGTTTCTTTCATTTTTTAAAATAAAAATAAAAAGCTTCATTAAATATCACTCGGTTTTGCAAGTAGGGGTATTTATGTATTTTCCTCGAAAGAGGACATGACGAAGCATGAACCCATAAAAAGGTACGTATCGCTCGTTAGCAACAAACCCAAAACCAAACAATCCAAAAAAAAAAAATCTGCAAGCTTTTTGCTTTCTCTCTGCTTTCATGGCGTCTTCACGTACCAACCTCTTTCTTCTCCTCCTCCTCTTTCTCTTTACTGCTACACTCATCGCCAGCCAGCAAAACGACGAAGACGACGACGCTTCACCTCAACTCGCTCTAGACCCGTCGGAGCAAGAAGCGGTTTACCGAGTTCTTGACTCAGTCAACTCAGCCATCTCATGGCGAACCATCTTCCCCGACGACCTGTGTGCCTCACCACCAGACGGCGTCGTTTGCGATTACCTCTACGCTTCTCAAAACGGCGTCGCGCCGTCTGTTCACGTCACCGAGTTCCATTTAGGCTACCTCTCGGATTACACTCAAAACCCTCCCTGCTCTTCAAACGCTACGCTTGATCCTCTCCTCTTTACTGCTTTCAAACACCTTCGTAAGCTTTTCTTCTACAAATGCTTCACCGGAGCTCGTGTCCCCTTGCCGGAAACAGTCCCGGAGGATTTCGGTTCTGTTCTTGAAGAGTTGGTGTTTATCGAAAACCCGTCTCTCTTCGGCGAGATCGGAGCCATGATCGGTAATTTCACAAAGCTGAGAAGATTGGTTCTTACTGGAAACGGGTTTCACGGGTCGATTCCGGGTCAAATCGGAGATTTGGTTAGTCTAGAAGAGATTACGCTCTCTAGAAACAGCTTGAGCGGTGGTTTTCCGGCGAACGCAACGTCTCGTCTGAAGAATCTAAAAGTTCTAGACTTTAGCCATAATTTTCTTAACGGAAATGCCCCTGATTCCATCGGAGACTTAACAGCGCTTCTCAAGCTAGATCTCAGCTTCAATGAGTTCACCGGTGAGATCCCTTCCGGCGTCGGGAACTTGAAAAAGCTCGAATTTTTGGACTTGAGTTACAACCGTTTCGGAAATTTCGGCGTTCCTCTGTTTCTAGCGGAGATGCCCAGATTGAGAGAGGTTTTTCTGAGTGGGAACAAGCTCGGTGGTCGTATACCGGAGATTTGGAAGAATCTCGAGGGTATTTCGGGAATTGGATTCTCAAGGATGGGTCTTGAAGGAAACATCCCAGCTTCAATGGGTTCGAGTCTTAAAAATCTCTGCTTTTTAGCGCTTGACAACAACAATCTCGACGGACAAATCCCGGAGGAGTTTGGGTTTCTGGAGTTTGCTCGTGAAATCAATCTGGAGAACAACAATCTCACCGGAAAAACTCCATTCTCCGACAGTTTCAGAGATAGAATCGGGAAAAAACTCAAATTGAGCGGGAACCGAAATCTCCAAGTCAAGAATTCCGATCCTCATCTCGCCGGACGAGCTCTGTATTCATCGGCGAGAAAGGTTTTACTTTTACCGTTGATTTGCTTCCCGGCGGCTTTATTAGCTCTGTCCATTTTAATAACACAGTAAAAACACAGTGAGGAAGAAGAACAAAGAACAGATTAGAGGAAAAGTTTTAACATTTATTATGCTTTTGACCTTTTTGATTAGAGGGTAAAGTTTTAGTAATTTTTGGTTGTAATGATTAGTTTCTTTTGGTAATGAATGAAATTACTTCTGATTAGATTATCTTCAACAATTTCTACAACATTTCTTTACTATTACAAAACTTAAAGTCTCTTGTTTTTTTATAACGAAAATGAAAATCAAAACCCATTTCTGTCGTCTTCGAATTGAGGTATAGATCTAACGGAGCCAGTATCAGACATATAATCCGACATTTTATCAGCTTCTGATATTCGAGACGATCTTGAAGACCCTCCATTACCACCTTCTTTAGATTTCTTCCTCTTTGATTTCTTTGGAATCTCTGGTAATCCAACACTATGTTGAGACCAAGAAGAGTCTTCGTCTTTAGTTCTCCTAGACGATGAGGTAGAATCTTCGTCTTTAGGTCTCCTAGACGATGAGGTAGAATCTTCGTCTTTAGTTCTCCTAGACGATGAAGTGCCTTTGTTTGAAGTTCGACGTTTGGTCTTGTCTGATTTTTCTTTTGTCGGAGAACCTTTCTCAGATGATGATTTTCTCGTGGATTTTGGTAGTTTTGGTAAATCTCTGGACCGACCACCAAACTCTGATTGACATTTCACTGAGGAATCGTCTTCTCCAAATAATTGAGTTGTTGATTCCATTCCAGGAGAACTCTTGAAATCGTTCATCTTCCAAAGATTATAAAATATAATGTTAAATTTGAAAATGCTGAAGTTTTAATTATGTTTGTAATGAAATAGGATTAAGAAGAGAGTAGTACCCAGCTAGGTGCAGTGGCATTATCAGACGGTCCATCCCAACCAATGTGTGCAACATGCTTTACGTCCGTTGGATTTCCGATTTGCATCTCTGGTTCCTTTTCACCTTCTATTGCTTAATATCAAAATTAACATAAATCAAAACCTTTTCATGTACATTCATCTAAAATCCATACAAGAATATTACTACAAATGGTTCTAAACTTGTAATTAGTATCCGCAGAATCATTGTAGTGTTTATGTTACTATTTTCATTATAATTCCATAAAATTTGTGGCGTTTTCTTGAATAACAACATGCTAGCTTAAATGTATTTGTTTCGTAGTTTGATAGCTTTAACATTCAAGCATATTATAGACATCATCGAGTTCTAAAATATTGAAATGATTAGGAAGGAGAGAAGGATAGAAACTCACCAAAAACTTGAGATATATAGCGGAGGCCTTTCAAGAGGCTTTTCATCTTGGTACTTGACATATATTGCGAGTTGCATAGATCTCTTCTCTTTGGGGAAACCAAATCTTTATCCTAGTTTTTGTTTTATTTGTACAAAACGAATGAACGATGAGAGGAGCGAAAAGCAATGTTCATGTATTAAACATATCCAAATTCTCTAGCTTAGTAAACCAGTAAAAAAAACAACAAAAATGACCTTTAAATATGATCTTTATATATTTACAGAAAATTGTGACTATAAAACTCTTAAATATGTAAAAGGATTACGAAAAATGAAAAAGAGAATCATTTATTTAGCTCAAGAATCCATAGTTTTCTTGAGAAATAAACAAATGTTCATGTTGAGAGTTTCATCATCATGCATGTTCTTGTATCCGAAATTATGTAAGAGCATGTGAAGAAATATTGAGAAAAAAAATCCAAACGAGAAAAACCTATTGCAACCCCATCTGAAAAGATCTAAAATTTTCCTGATATCAAAAGAAAAAGGGTTCACCAGATGAAGAAATTAATGAAAAAAACACAAAGAAAATGTCCTTGAAAGAGGTGTGAAGATATCAAAATGACAATGGAGAACTGAGGGGGAAAACAAAAATTGTTTAGATTTTTTCGTTAACTCAATGGTTTAGAATTTTTGAATAATTCTGAAAAAAAAAATAGAAGGGAAAGTAGTATAGAGAAAAGAATGCCATCAACAAACAAACAAGAAGATTAAAAAGGGGAAAGAAAAAATGAAGGGATGAGATTAGTTTTGTTAAAATATTTTCTATTTGCTTTGTTTTACAAGCCTATTTAAGGATAATTTTTGTATGCTTTTATGTTTTGTATCATTGTATTGCTTTCTTTTTGTCGATAAGTTTTGTATTACTAATCCATTCGTTGTTGGAAACATATTATGTTTGAAACAAGTTTTGCTCATGAATGCATTATTTTGATCAATTCAAAAGATTGTAGAGTTATCATACTTTTTTCTTGGACCATTCTCTACCTTTCGTGCTTGATATTATTTTATAGTTACATACTTACTATCTTCGAATTTTTTTAATCTTTGAAATGATATAAAAAAAAGACACCAAAAACAATATAATAATTTTAACCAAGACACGCATGAATTTCATTCTTTTAAAAGAGAAGCGACACGCATGTATAATTTCTTTAGCACACAGCCACACACTATCAACAAAACGAATTTATAAGATACAACCGTCAAACTCAAATGCATAGGAACAAAAAGATTACAGAAATGAAAGAACAAAATAATCAGAGCATTCTCATCAATCCCTCCCCCAATCTTTATTTGAACATCGGCCTCCGCGGGCGACCCAATTTCAGGCCAAGATCGATATCGATATCCATATCGGTCTAACAAAACCGGATGGTTAAAGGTTAAGCAATGTCATTCCCTACTGCTTATTATTAGCCTGCAAGAACATTCAACATATCCATTAGTAAGGAGAAGTAGTAGAAAAAGAAGAACATGATCAGAACAAGTAGTCACCTTCTTCAGGAATTTTTCATGAATCTTCAAAGCTTCTTTACATGCTTTTCTCGCGTCCAAATTACCTGCAATACCGCCCAATATCTGCAACCAATCGAAGAAAACAAACACAACTAAATCGCCATAAAACCAGAGAAGAGTGAAATTTCTTAGAAGGTTTTTTGCCAAAGAGGGACCTGAACAACGTCATCTAGGCCTTTTGCTTCCTTCAAGAGACGTTTGTTCTTTGTTTCAAGAACACTTGCCACAACAAAAACAGCAAGCGTGTTGTGTTGCTCGTTCTGGCCATTCTTTATATATTTTCTCTCAAACTTTCCATACTGCTTGAGTAACCTCGGATCCTGTCCTGAGGAGTTGTTTATGTTTTGTGGTTCTTCGTATGATGCAAACTTGTTTGGATTGTATTCCATAGCCCACATCAGCTGAAACAAAATTCTATCTCACAGTCTTATTATCAGCTCAAATCATGACACTCTAAACCCTGAAAGAACATGAATTGGGTTCTCTCAGGTGAATGAAAACCAATTTCACATCCCTAGAATCAGCTTATGACATCAAGAAATGCGGACGAGTTTTTGTAAACAGAATCTTGTTACCTCCCAAAGGTACAAAGCATCAAGGAAGGAGAACTCTCTCCTGAACAATACCATCAACATTCGTATAGCAAACAGATACTCTCCACCGTCGAGATCCTCTGTTGTTGGAAACAGAATATAACGTCTTAACCAACCATGAGAAATGCAAGAGAAAACGAAGCTCAATGGAAAGGCAAAAGGAAGGAGTACCAAGATGCTGATGTAGCCGAGGATCAACGGTTTTAATGACCTGTGAGAGCATACCCAGCTGAGTCTGGACGCCCATTGATGTTGCTGTCGTCCTGAAATTTTCTCTCTGAAATTCAAGAAAACTAAAAACCATGAAAACAGTAACAAACCCAGAGATGACACAGAACAAGACAGAAGCTTTAGATCTTTACTAGTCTTCGCATTGCACGCTCAAAGCACCAGAAAGCGTCGGCTTCCTCTTCAAGTAGGATTATCATCGGGGAACATATGTCATTCATTCCTATACAAAATGGATGATTAATTCCTATTCTTTTACATGTTCTCCTGTATTGAATATTTAGTATTAACACCAAGGTGGACTTACCTTGAACATAGCCAATATCAGGATTTAACCATGTATAGATGGAAAGAATATCCCATAGTCTTGCTTGATTACTTTCACTCTCATAAAAGCAGAGATACCGATCCGTTCTAACCACATCGAGACCTGCAACAAAATTTCACCTTATTAGCAGTTCTTTAAGAGCACTTAACATATTTCTGAAATCTGAATTCTGACACTTTTACAGAACGCTAGAGAACATAAACTTATTGAGTAGGTAACAATACCGATTTGACTCAACACAAGCATCCACTGGAGCACACGCTTGTCTGTTATAGCGGTTTTCACAAGCCATCCTTGATCCTCTACTGAGGATTCTTCTAATGGCTGCCCATCTTCTGCAACAACTGCCATCGTGACAAACTTGCCGCTACCAACAAGAGGAACCATATTCCGACATTCTTCTTTCCAACCATAATACTGCTCCCTTAGATAATAAGGGCATCATCAATGGGGGATCATGTGAGGGTGTTCTTATAGAGAATATAATGTTAAAATAATGTAAGATCATGTGTTTAGGTCTTTTGTTTAGAAGTTGATTAGTGGGAGAACATGTGTAAGATCTTAAGACTTAATAATATAATAATCTAAATTAAATTAAGATTTTACAATTATTAAACCATTTAAAAATAACATATAAATTGCAAATGCCAAATTTATGAAAAACTGAAAATAAAAGTGAAAATACAATACTAAATATTTATGAAAAAAACATTAAAAATATAAATAACAATAAACAAACAAACATATTACTTAATAAAAGCACAAAAACATTTTATCTAATTAATACATAGTTTATTATCCAAATTTATTCCAAATATGTTGAATATTCCAACCAATGCCCAAATGTCACGTCACCCCGCAACACCCACAAGAACAGATCCAGGTCAAGAGCCCAGTTCCTGATCTTAAGCCCATTAACCCATTTTTTTGGATTTAAATAATGCTTAGATCAGAGGGGGTGATCCCCCAATGCAGATGGTCTAAGTGCAGCAATATGAAGTGCAATGTCAAGAGCGGAAAACATTACTCGAAAGGATCTACAGAACCAGTAAGCATTCAGTAAGTACCTTCTGTGATTCCTCAACTTGTTCCGCTCTTCAAACGTGCTGTCCGGATCGTAACCTCCTAACAAAAACTCCCAAACCTCTCCTTTGATTGAGGGGTGAATTCCCTGAAAATGTACTCAAGTGAACAACAAGGTCATAAGAACAAAAAATGAGATAACACACCAATATAGACTTACCCCTCGTTGTATACGGCGAAGAACTCTTTCCATATCCAAATGTCCATCTTCAGTAAACGCAGCGTGCCATTTTCTAGCACTTAGAGTTTTACCCGCCTGATAATAATATCCCACAAATGAAAGATTCAAACTTTGAAACAAATTTTATTGATCAAGAACATAGATGGTCTTAAAAAAAAAGACAAACCCTTGATTTAAATCTGGTCCTGGGAACATCTGCTACACATTCTGATCTAACTGGATAGAAACCTTGCAAATCTTCACCTCCGGATTTCCACATAAATCCACAACAAATCATTCAAAGCTTCACTTTTTTTTTTTTCTTTCTGGGTCAATCCAGATTCAAAGCAAACCTATTATAGACTATCATCCCTGTACATATTCATCAAAACAACTAACAACAATCAAAATTGGCCCTTAAAAATCTCTTCTTTCTTTTATGTAGCTAAAAGTCAAGTTTCTCCAACAAACAAAAAAGGAAAGTACCAGACTCAGGAAAACACAATCTAAACATTGTCCGGCAAAAACATAACCTTTAAGCAATCAATTACTATGTACCTTGTCGGATTCAACATCATGAACTAGAATGTTAAATCAATCTTCGTGCTTCGTCTTCTCTATTGGTCAATCGAAATTCAGAGAATTTAAATGTTGGAGCGAGGAAAAGGCCCTGCGTCACGACAAGGTCACCGTCGGAGGCTGCCGTTAAACTTGACGGTTTCAAACGACGATTATTGGCATACACGTTATACACTTTAAACGACGTCGTATATTAATTCATATCATGAATAATAATATAATTAGTTTAACTCAAAACTGAAACAGTAACATTGAATTAAGCTCAACAAGATGTCGTGATTACAATAAAAAGTTTGTAAAAATTGATACAAAATCCAGAGAAGTGATGATAATACATGAAAAATTGGGAGTTTCGTGGAAACAGAGGACCAAACAACATATGTAAAGAAGAATCCAATTTACAGCAAAGAGCCCATTGATGAAGGCTTCATTTGCGGATCGAAAGAAGCTCGAAGCTTCTGAGAGCCTCGTCACGTGCTGTCCTTGAAGCAGCTACTCTGTCGCGGTTAAAGGCAGAGGCTGTCTTTGACTCATATCCACTCACAGCAGCTGCTGCTTGGGTTCTCTGAAAGACTGATGGTCGGACACCGCCACCGCTTGAGGCTACACGGCTCGAGTCTCGGCTATCCCTTTGTTCCCCTGATGAGCTTGGCCTACTTCCTGAGGCTACTGCTCTCCTTGAAGCACTGCCGTATCTGGAAGTGTTTCTTCCTTTCTCAGATACCATATTCTGATAAATCAAAGATAATGTCATATCAAGAACGAGCAAGACCTGAGACTTATTTCTTGAAAAGTTTAGAATCAATTCGTGCACATTCTATAATGTAATCATTTATAAAACTTTTGATCCAAAAACTTAGGTGATGATGATTTTTTACCACAGCAGGTTTCATTGAAGGAATTTCGTCAAGAGTTCGATGTCTGGTATGGTTTTGATGGGGACTGGGTCCTCTAACATTCCTTCTCGCGAATGCTTCGACTGCTCCTGAGAATTTATCGCGGATGTTCCCTACTGTAAGACATACAGGATCACAAAATCAGAACCGACCACCGTTTAGCTGAGCAGAGTTATATGTTTCTTAACTTTGGAAAAAAGTAAAGGATTACCTGAAATCCTTTCAGGTTTTTCAGCAGACGGTCCCGCAGCCATCCCTGGTTTACCGGTACGATGCTGAAGAAGAGATCAATACGAAACCAAAGTGAGTATGGACACTCGATACTCGATAGAGAAATCTACAGACATGTGTACTAACCCTTTCATGGGTGCTGGAATGGGATCTGGCACTACTCTGAGGGTGTTTCAATGCAGTCCAGTCGAATACATAGTCAAACTGATAACCTGATACCGTGAATCCATTTGTTATCAAAAGAGTGAAACATTTATAGAAATATCAAGAAAGATTTCATTTGTTCAAAAAAAAAAAAATCAAGAAAGATTTCAATATCTAGAAAAACAATATTTCTACTTAAATGAATTGCTTTGCTATTTCACAGTAACTAGTAAAAGTAAAAGTCTAGCTTCTGAAATTGCAAACCTTCACGGATAAACAAGTCTCGGAAAAGTCTCTTTAGGTATGAGTAGTCTGGTTTGTCTTCAAATCGCAAAGATCTGCAGTATTGAAAGTATGATACGAATTCGGGTGGATATGACTTGCACAAGACCTGTTACAAGTATGGTAGAACAATTAACCCTTGATTTATGTCACAATGAGATAGCTGATCTAGCTCCAGTCAAGGGTATCTAAGCCATATTATGTCTTTACCATACCTCTATAGGAGTTGATACTTTCTTCTCGCTAATTCTGTCATACTTCTGCTTCTTTGTGCCAGCTTTTAGTCCCTGCCACGGTAGGCTGAACCCGAAAATTCCAGAAAAATTAGACCAGAACAAGCACGTCCAAAGATTTAGTCAGACAAAAAAGGATCTGTATGCACAACCTTCCTCTGAGGAAATACATGAGCACGTAACCAAGAGACTCCAGATCATCCCTCCTACTTTGCTCTGCCAACAGATATGCAAACATGCACACATTTTAGGAATTGTATATATGACACTGGAGCAGATCTCAAGTGGTTCTATGTATCGCTTACCAACTCCAAGGTGAGTGTTGACACTAGCATACCGAGCTGTGCCCGTAAGGTTCTTGTTTTCTCTGTAATGAAAACAACATGAGTATCTGTAAGAATTTAAGTAAAAACAAAATGAAAGAAGTAAAAAAATATGCACATGAAAGCACCATAAATCACCTATAGGGGATGTGCCTATGTGTTTGGAGATCCCTATACTTCTTTGCAAGCCCAAAATCAATGATATACACCTAGATATTCAGAACATAATTTCAGTATCTATTTTCAGCTAAGAAATTCTGTTTCTTACATTGTAAGAAAACTAAATGAACAAATATTTGATGGAAAGAAAGCAAAAGCAGGAACTCATGTTCATAATATGAACAGTGAAAAAAGTAGATGGAACTAACATAACGTTCTCTGTGTGAAATAATCCACCGACAGAAAGTATATAAAATCAAGCACCTGGTTTGCTTTGCGACCAAGTCCCATCAAGAAATTGTCAGGTTTTATGTCACGGTGAAGAAATCCCCTTGAATGCATATATTCAACTCTGCTTATCTACAATGATCAACAAACATTTTAGGTGGAACTCCCGAACTTCTAACATTATTTCTTCTGCCTTGAAAAAGTGAAAGCAGCACTTGAGAATACTCACCAGTTGATCTGCAAGCATCAAAACTGCTTTCAAAGTAAGCCTCCTATTACAATAGTTGAACAAGTCCTCCAAACTCGGCCCGAGTAGATCAATGACCATCGCATTGTAGTCTCCCTGAACCCCAAACCACTTGAGACTGGGGATGCCACCTTCACCACAGAGAACAAATGCGATATCAGATGAGCAGGGTTCAACGACCATTTTGCACAACTAGAGCATGTTTTTCCATAGAATTGGCACAATGATAGCAGCTACATATTTTGACCAGGAAACTCATCTCAAAGTTGTAAACTTACTTCCTCCTTGTAGAAGCATGTATATCTTCGACTCATAATGAAGTTGGGGATGCTTAGTTTTCGCAGGCTCCTTCAAAGTTTTACAGAACATTAGACATAATTGGTTGTCGAATTTCCCCAGCAACTAAAATCCTCAATAAAAATATAAGTTTTTCGATAATTAAGAAGCTATGGAAGATACATTAACTGATTGATGCAATGGAATCCCTGTAGCATGTTTTACTCAAACAAAGAATGAAGCCAAAAAGATTGATATAACTAATCCACTATGGCTATTACAAGTAACAAAGACTATTGAATTTCAAGAGGCAGTTCCTTTCAATACAAAACAAAGCGTAAAAATTCAATTTTGACTCGTCCCCTGAATCTTAAATCACATGTTATTGATGAGAAAGAAGACAAGATTCGAATAATACCAGCTTAACAGCTACTTCCTCTCCGGTTTGCAGACTTACGGCTGAAAATATTATCCAAAGAACAGATTTAATTCACATAAGGAAAAAAAAAGGTAATCACACAAAATTGAATACAAACTAATAAGAACAGATCACAGAGAAATGATTAAAAAGAAGCAATTTTTACCAAGAAAAAGCTCTCCAAAAGAGCCACCGCCGATCTTCCGACCAAGTTTAAACTTGCCCCCAATTACATTATCCATTTTCAAGTCCATTCAATAATACTTTCAAAATCACCTGGAAGACGGATTTAAATGCCCTAATTAAGAAGCAAGTGCTGCATAATCACCATCTGAGATCGAAACAGGTCAACGGGACAAGAAGACAAAGAATCGCCTCTGCTGCGTGAGATATAACATCAATCCAATGTCGTGCGTGACCCAGGGCGTTGAAGAAGAGTTGAATCGCCGAAACAAACGAATCAGACAGAGAAGAAAGTCATAGAAAATAATCAGACAACCCAGATTGATTTGTCACATTCCCCAAATCAAAAAAGGTGACGAATTGATATTTCTGGGTGAAAAGAAAAGTTCACCCAGTAAACATGTACATGGACAGAGAACAAATGGGCCTAACACTTTTAGGCCTGGCCCAAATGTTTCAAAAAACGGCCCAAAGTGGAACACTAAATTGATTGCTAAAGATCTAGTTGTGATTATATTGAGGCTTTGTGCATTTAGAAACTCGCAAGGACTTAGTTGGTATGCGTTAGTGTCTATCAAGGACATATTGGTCTACACGGGTAACAACCAAGGTCCCAAACAAAACAACAACAGTTTATATAAACAGACTAGAGAGTAGCTTTTGAGAATTATTATTTATGACAATTATCCTAATCATTAATGCTAATAATTCAAGCTTATATATGCGTATGTTGTCTTGTCTTTATCATAGAAGCGACGTTGAAGTCATTGGGCCTGATCCACCTGTCTTAGGCCCACTTTGCAACGTGGAATATTTTCCTAGTGTGTAGAGGATATTTCTTTCTGCTGCTGCACACATGTATGTGTCGAGAGAGAAGGCTATTGGTCATTGATGAAGTCATGAAGAGGCGTCAATGGCAAGTCTAGTGAGTCCACGTAGTCAATAACCCGAAACGTCTAGATTGAGATTTTTCATATCAATGAATGAAGCTTGTAAATTACTCATCGTTATTTTTATTTTTTGTGGACAAATTTTTCCCAATGGTATCTTTATTAGTTTCAGCTAAGGAATATGCTTAATTTTTAAGATCTTTGACTCATTTTTTCTCCTTGATCGTCGTATAAGATAACCTAGTTTAGTAGTAACACTTTAGTCACCAATTTATTTATAACTTATTCATTATTTTTTTCGTAGGGATCGGATTTCGGTTGGATCAAGACACGGTTATGTCATAATCGTGTAATAAAGTTATTATTGTTGTGTTTAGTTTATTGTGTTTCCTTGTGTGCTTAAGATTCGTCTGTCATTCTGTTGGTTGGTGCCTTGGTGGTAAGCAAATTAATTATGTATTTTAAACTTGATATATATTTTATTACCCTTTTTTTTTGTAACAAGAGTGTAGAATCTTCGATATTATATTTTGTATTATTTGTACTAGATGTATCTAAAAAAAAACTTAAATCTTATAGACACGATTCCAAATATGGTTAGGGACATAATAGAAAAAAAAAAAAAAAAAAGGTCCGTTATTGGTTCCACTGATTGTAAGGCTTGGACACAAGCACAGAAAGAAAATCATTGTACATATTGATAAAAGTAACCCGACCCCGATAGATTGAGTAGATTTCTCAATTAAGAAAAGTTAAAAAGTGAAAAAGAAATAAACTTAAAAACAACTAAAGATTCCTTAGTGGTCCCATGAGGTTGAAGTTCGTAAAGCTAAAACAAGATTTAGAAGTCATGTCTCTCTCTCTTTTTTTCTTTTTATAACTTATTAGATTTCTTCTTCTCCTTTACCTCTCTTCGGTTGGTCTATAGCTTTCAAAAGCTATTATAGGATTAGGGCCTTAGGCGAAAGATACACACAAAACATACATAAATAATACACATTATATATAGAGTTGTTGTGTATATATTTTGATCTTATAGCTAGGGCTAGCTCTATAATTTTTAGATGCTTAGTGAAAGAAAAGAAGAGAAATGGAAAGATTCTTTTTATTTTGATTTCCTTTCTACTTAATTTGTGATTACAGAGATACAATGGTTTTATAGAGATTCAAATCTAAACCTAGTGTACCCTTCACTGTCTTAGCTGGCTATTGACCATCACGTGGCATAGCTGTCGTCACACGATCCTAGAGCTTCAAAACGGTTTTGCGTTGTCACCTCCGTACGTTTTGTCTGCTCTGCTAATCCTCTGTTCTTATCTTTTGTCGCAGGTAGCCGTTGTACGGAGGTGGGCTTCTTCTCTTCTTGCTTTGATTTGGGCCTTTGTATCTTGAGGCCTTTTTGCAGAGTGTTGCCGTTTTGAGCAGTTTGGTTGATACTCCCCCGCAAACTCGGAGTTGGTGGAAAGTCAACGCCGAGTTTGAATCTCAAGGATTCGAAAGGAGCTTTAGGAAGTGACTTAGTAAATATATCAGCAAGTTGCAGGTGCGCAGGAATGTGGTTGACAATAAGCTCTCCAAATGCAACCTGTTCACGAACATAATGGTAATGAGTAGCAAAGTGCTTCGTCCGGGCATGGAAGGAAGGATTTGCTGTGAGATACACCGCAGACAGGTTATCACAAAAGAGCTCAGGTGTCTTCAACTTAGGTACACCCAAATCTCGCATAAGATTAACCAGCCATGTAATTTCTGAAGCAGTATCAGACATACACCGATATTCAGCTTCAGTGGAGCTTTTCGCAACCGTTGGTTGCTTTCTTGATGCCCAAGAAATGATATTGTTTCCAAGAAAGGTACAGAAACCACCTGTAGATCGTCTTGTTGAGTGACAACCCGCATGATCACTATCACTGTAAGCCCTCAATGTGCAATCCGTGTCTTTATTGAAAGATATACCCATTGTAGTGGTGCCTTTAATGTACCTTAGAATGCGTTTAAGCAGATGAAAATCTGAGAGAGTCGGAGCATGCATCTTTTGACATACATAGTTGACAGAGAACTGCAGGTCTGGCCTTGTTAGTGTCAGGTACTGCAATTTTCCTGCTAAGCTTCGGAAATATGTCGGATTTTCAAAAATTTCAGACTGATGAGCTGTTTTGTCAGGCTGAAGAGGTAGAGGTGTGGCTACTGGAGAGCAGTCTGTCATTGCTGCAGCAATAAGAAGATCTTCAGCATACTTCTGCTGAGAGAGAAAGAGGCCTTTTTGATGAAATTGAGCCTGAATTCCAAGGAAATAGCTTAGTCTTCCTAAGTCTTTCATTTTGAACTGCTTGTTAAGCTCACTGAGAAGAGTAGAGAGTAGAGCAGAGCTGTTTCCTGTTATAACCATGTCATCAACATAGAGAAGAAGCATGATCACATCATTGTTTTTCACACAAATAAAGAGTGAAGGATCAGACATGCTGCAGACAAAACCAAAAACCAGAAGGAATTTACTGAATTTGTCAAACCAGGCTCTTGGGGACTGCTTTAATCCATAGAGAGATTTGTGAAGCAGACAAACATGATCTGGCAATGCTTTGTTGATGAACCCTGCAGGCTGTCTCATGTACACAGTTTCAGTGAGATCTCCATGGAGAAAGGCATTTTTAACGTCCATTTGTTTTAATTCCCAGTTGAAGATTGTGGCAAGATGAAGAACTGCTCTCACTGTTGCAGACCTTACTACAGGACTGTAAGTCTCAAGATAATCAATTCCTTCTTCTTGCTTGAAACCCTGAGCCACTAATCTAGCTTTATATTTATCAAGTGAGCCATCAGCATTTAATTTGACCCTGAAAACCCACTTAGAGCCTAGAACATGCATTTCAGGTGAAAAAGGAACCAAGGACCATGTTCTTGTTTCAGAACAATTTGCCATTTCCTCATCCATTGCTGCAGTCCACTGTGGATTCTTTAAGGCTTCAGTGACTGTTTTAGGCATAGGATGAGACACTTTGTGTGTGAGCAAAGCGTACCTTTTATTAGGTTTGGTAATGCCAACTTTAGATCTTGTAATCATAGGATGACTTGTTTCTGCAGGTGGAGCACTTGGAACAGGAGACTTGGGTCTAGGAGATGAAAGAGGAGCGCTGTTGCCTATAGGATCAAGGTCTAAGCTTGCCGTACACCCAGTACACTCCTCATCACTCCTAGATAAAGACTCTGATGTTGTTGTTGAAGTAGTGTCTGAAGCTAAAATAGTCTGAATTGGAGTAGCACAAATTTGTTCATCTGTTGTGATTTCCATCATATTGTGATCTTTCTCCTCCTCTGTTGATTTAATGGGAGAGTGATCATCAGATGTTGCCTCTTCTCTTCTTATAGGTATTGAAGTTGAGACAATAGGGACATTCTGTTGATTCTTTTGCACAGAAGATACTGTTATTGGACCACCTTTTAACCAAGCTTGAAAGAGTGGAGTTTGAGACGAAGATTGCATACTTGTGTAAGTATCCTTGAATGGGAAAGAGCCTTCATCAAAAAGCACATGGCGACTCAAATATACTCGACCTGTGGGAGGATAGAAACACCTGTATCCTTTGTATTTCTCTGTATAGCCAAGAAAGACACACTTTAATGACCGTGGGTCGAACTTGTTGTGACCGTAGGCCCGAAGAGTAGGATAACAAGTGGAGCCAAACGTTCTGAGAGCTGAGTAGTCTGGTGCTTTCCCAAAAAGAGCTTCATAGGGACTGTTGTTTTCTTTAAGAGCAGTTGTTGGTAGAAGATTGCAGAGGAAATTGGCTGTAAAAAGAGCTTCAACCCAGAATTGTTGTGGTGTTCTGCTTTGAAACATCAATGTAAGCCCCATTTCTATAAGTTGCCGATGCTTTCTCTCTGCCATACCGTTTTGTTGAGGTGTATGGGGACAAGAGATGAAATGCTGTATACCAGAATCTTGCAAGTGTTGTAAAAAGGCCTCAAGATACAAAGGCCCAAATCAAAGCAAGAAGAGAAGAAGCCCACCTCCGTACAACGGCTACCTGCGACAAAAGATAAGAACAGAGGATTAGCAGAGCAGACAAAACGTACGGAGGTGACAACGCAAAACCGTTTTGAGCAGTTTGGTTGATACTTAGGCCTATCGAACCAGTGGACCTTATGCCATCCACGTGGCCTCATTTCTCTCTTTAGATGATTTATACGAATTTCATATTTTTGTAGTTGCAATACTAGACAAACATAAGCTAATTATTGATATGTAAGTGTCATTTTTTGATAAAGTATTGATAATTGTCGAATAGTAATAAGATTTTATTTCGTGTAAATAATCAATATGACAAAGTATATATATAAAAAGAGAGCATGAAACATTTTTTAAAAACTATTATATTGATAGTAATAACGTAATAGTTATCAAATTTTGGTTTGACCTACAAATAATAAAGAGTTGTCTTCCAAATCTTTCTCTAG